GATTCCCATTGATCGAATCAACCAGGGCTTTGAAATCAGCCTCCAATGATCGCTAGGTACCCTTCTTGTGTAGACATTTTGCAGGCTGCTCTCGTTGCAAGAGCTATTGCCCTCATGTTGTCGAACTACCACTCCATAAGCTCTCTCGCCTCTTTGCTTTCCATAAAAGTCCCATCGTAGTTGAGATCTTACTCCATCCTAGCACTCATTGAATCAGTAACAAACCTCAAGTAATAATAAACAGAGATTAACTCTCTCTCTAGCACTCAGTGAATCAGTAACAAACCTCAAGTAATAATAAACAGAGATTAGCTCTCTCTCTCTCTCTGTTCATACACATACCTTTCGATTAGGAAAAAAAAATCAATGGTGAGGCCTCCAGTGACCCACAAATAAACAAAACCCAAATGCATAATGAAATAGAACAACAAACCCAAGCAGAAGCACAAACCATAACAATGAACATTATGCCAAAGATATTTTCTACCCAAAGCCTGTTCCAATGAAAAAGAATAATAGTTTTTCATAGAAAAGCCTCAAGACAAAAACAAACCAATACATTCTAGAACAAAGCCAATAGTTATTGATTCAATGTACATAAAAGGCCAATGAGATTTCATGGAAGCTAATATTTATTTGTTTGTGCTTGAGTTTGTTTGTGCTTGAGTGTGTTTGTGTGCGCCTATGTGTTTGTGTACAATGTGTGTGTGTGCTGGTTTGTGTGTGCGATGTATGGATAGAAAAATTGAAAGTAAGCTTCTTATTACCCAACCAAAAAGACATTCCATTAATAAATAGATTACTAAACGTTGTGTTATAGATTTTACCATATGACTGGACAAATTAAGTGCAAACCAGGGCGGTCATAATCAAGAGAAATAAGTAACTTCAATAAGCATCAAACATCAACTAGCAGGCAAAAAAAAAATTAGGATGTCGGGGCTGTCATTTCAAACTTCAAGCAATTTAGTGTAGCAGATTCCATTTGCAAAACCTGGAATAAAAATTTAAGTGGCAATCATACAACATCAGTTCTCTGAAGAGCACGGCCAAATATGTACTTAGTTTTCTTCATGGTCTAAATATGTATTCTCATCATTGTGTTTGTGGGAAAATAATAATGAATTAGATCAAATCATCATACTGAAAACCTCAAATGCATTTTATCAAATAGCTAACAGAGTTTGAGAGGGACAACTTATCAAATAGCTAGCATGAGTCTACCATACACATACCCAAACCCACCTTCAATAGATCAGTTGAGTAAATATTTAAGTTAAACAAATCCAAATCAAATATATCCATCTCAGTACAGAAATATCACAAACACATACATGTACTTGAATGTGTGCTACTCCTAACAAACTAATAACTTCGAATACAATAAATACGAATAGAATCTACAACACAGAGAAGAAAACACACAAAAACCCAAAAATATCAAATCAATTATAAAAAATAGAACTTCATGCTATAGATGTATGATCTATTAAAGTACAACCGAGTTCAACAAAAAAAAGTCCATCAACTGGTTACCAAACTATGGAAATAGTAATAACGAAAGTCAGCTAATTAGGCAACATTAAACCCAAGTATTAAGAAAGAGAAGATCATAAATTAGGCAGGTTGAAACTGAATACAACCAACTGATTTGGGAACAGTCGACCCTTTGAGCTCTCTTTGCGGCTTCAATGACATCTTAGTTGACGAAGACAGAGGCAGAGAGGCTCATATCTAGGAAAAGAAAGAGGTTGCATACAAAAAAAAATGAGATAAGAAAATGACACAAATTTTTTAATCTAACAATGAGAAGCCAAAGCTAATTCCTCTTCTTGTCTGTCTTAATCAGATCTGCAACCAATGAATGAATACAAATAATTTGTGTAAGGCATTTTAGCAAACAACTTGTATGCCAAAAGCCAATGGGAAATGCATACCCATCAAATTAGCGATGGATTGGCAGAATAATACCGGCATCGCATGCAAAATTAACATTAATGTGGGTGTTTAATTTGGGAGCACTCACATTAAAAAACCCAAATTAACACTCTAATTAAACACCCAATTGTTGTTTGTATGTGTGTAAAAACCCAAATTAACACCCAAATATGTGTGTGACTATATGTGTGTGTCTGTGTGGACTATGCTTTTGTGTGTGCGTGTGTTGATGTGTTATGTATGTGAGTATGAGTGTTCTGTGTGTGTTGTGTGCCTGATCAGTGTGTGTGTGTTGTGGAGACACCCAATTCAAAAGCCTAGATTAACAGATTGGGTGTGCTGTGATATGTGTGTGTGTGACTGCGTGCATGCGTGCTCTGGGTGGGTGGGGGTGTGTTTGTTCAACTGTGTAGAAAGAGAGAGAGAGAGCGCTTACGTGGATGGCAGTGTCGTTGACGGTGGGGTGGCCGATGATGGGTGAGAGAGAGTAGAGAGGTCGCAAAGGAGGAGAGAGAGAGAGAGAGAAGAGAAGAGAGACGTTGGCGTTATGTCAGACAATTGAGTTGGGCAATGTGCAAAAGATTTGGGCGGGATAAATTTGGTTTAAGATGCATCGTAAGCCTTTGGATTAAATTGAAATAATGAAGATGAGTTTTTTTTTATTTTATCAAAATTTAAAAATTCAAATTGGGTTCTAGCATATTATTATAGATATAAAATATGTTAAATTTTTTTAATAAATTTATTCAATAATTTTAAATAAAATAATCTAATGATCATTGACATTCTTTTTAAAATCGTGACATTATACTGCGTTTTTACTCACGAGTTACCCAGAGTTACTTATAACAGCTGTGTGATGACACATACAGACACCCATGCTGTATGGGAGGACTTTTGGACTTTTTTACATTGCGCCAAATTTGGCTGTTTTTGCCCAGTCTCTCGTCAACACTTTGATCATTTAGTTGAAGATTTATCGGTACTCGCAAATTTTGGTGGAAGTTGGAAACTCGCTTGTTTACACCTTGCTTTTCTAAATTTGAATTTGAATTTGAATTTAAATTTAAATTTTTTTCTCTTTTTTCTCAAAATCTAATTTATATCTCTTTATATTAATCTTACCAAATTTCTAAATCAAAATCCTCTCGCCAAATAATGCGAAGTATCATCATTATTTGATATTATAAGACCCATTTATTTACTAGTAATAATCACTTTATTTGATAAGGAGATTTTATGCTTGATTTGGATGACAAATATCTTAATTGATAAATTTATTAAAATTTACATGTTTTTTTTTGGGTAACAAAAGCTTCATGAACCCACAAATATTTTATCCTATCTTAAATATGAAATTTCTCAATAAGTTTGAGAATAATCTTAGCTTGGTTTCATAATTGTTAAAAAAATAATTTTACTACGGGGATTCTATAAATGTGCGCATTGGTAAGAAATTAGTAAGAATTCTAGCTATTACAATTAAACAAATATAAAAAAATACTAGAAATTTTAAAGAATGTTGTATGTCCTGCAAGGATCAAAATATCATTTCGAAACGATCGAAACGTTCGAAACGTTTCCGTTTTTAAGGAAATCGAAACGAATCAGTGATGAAATCGAAATTCTAATTCTTCGAGGTGTTTCATAATGTTTTGAAATGTTATTATATTTTAATACATTTGCACAATTATTTCATAATGTTTCAAGATATTTTGAAGATATTTTTGTATATTTTAATCAATATTTTGAAAAAATAAGTCTTAATTTTTATTTTTTTTTCATTTTGTTTCTGAAACGGGTCGAAATTTTTCCGAAACACATTGAAATGTTTCTGTTTCTGGGGTGACCGAAACGATGCACCGAAACAAAAATTTGATCCTTGATGTCCTGTAGTATATAATTAAAACATGTTAAAAAGATATATTTTACGTCTTTTTGTTTAAATTTTATTTTAAAAAATAAAAATAAATTTTACTATTTTTAGTAATTTTGTCTCAAATTTTTAGTTTATTTTGTCATTCTTATACTTATTTTTTTTAAATATCTATTAGTGAATTATTATCAATTATATTTTGTCGCCCTTATTTAGATTCGTGACTCCACCCCCTCTTAGAAGATGATATAGGGTGTGTTTGTTAATCCAAATTTAACACTTAAAATAAATGCATTCAGTACTTATTAATTAAACCCGTTTGATAAACCAAAATTTAAACTCTCTTAATATGTTAAGTGCTCCTTAAAAATAGACTACAATATTAAGTAGGGAATCTCTTACTTAATTCTGAAACATACACAATTACCCAAAGACATGTACACTACACACACATGACGCACACACGTATTGTTAATGAAATTTAATGTGTTGTATTTTTTTAATATTATTTGATTACTTATTAGTTATTATTTTTTTTATCAGATGTTATTGTTTACTTATTATGTTATTCAATCTGTTATTGTTCACTTATTTTGTTATTCAAATGTTATTTATTTTATTTTGATCAAATAGTTGTTAAATGTAGACTACAATATAATAATAATAATTATGATTTATGTTATGACATATTTTATAAATATTTTTAAATTAAAGAATGGAAGGATAAAACTGAAAATTTATTTATTTTCAAACATCAACTTTACGTAGTAATCAAACAGTTTAGTTTAATTTAGTATTTAAATTTTAGTGAAAATCAAATAGTCCACAAATTCAATATTTAACTTTTTGACTTCAATTTTCAATTTTATCAAACACCACCGTAGTTGTAAATTTCTCTAAAATGGCTTCCATAGATATGTTATCTATACATTTAATAATAATAATAATAATATGTACATTATTTTTGTGTGGCATGAATTTAATCTTTAAATATTTAAAGAATTCACCGCAACCCATTAATCTCATGATTAATATTGGGATGGTACGGTAAAAAAAAGGTGGTGCATGTGTAGTATTATTGTGCATTTAAAATGGTCTTCACCGACTATCTTCGAGATGGAGAGTAGGTATCATTTTAAACACTGCGCGTAGGAAAGTCATTTTAAACTAAACGGTATATATGTTTGCATCTCAGACCAATAAACACAAACGTGGTTCACATCCTTCTCCCCAATATGACTTACCTAATCCAAACCCTCCCTTAATCCATTTTCACACACACACACAAATTCCTCCTCCGACGATGTCGACGGCAACACCTTCCGACGACAACAATAATTTCAGCAACATCGATGCGACGCCGTTGCTATCGGACCAGATCTTCAGGAGCCGCCGATTCATTCGCCGTCCGCCAAGCCTCCGTGGCGCGGCTAGGTTTCTCCGCCGTGCTAGCAGTCGCCGGATGATGCGCGACCCCTCGATCCGTGTCCGGGAAGCTGCCGCCGAGCAAATCGAGTCGAGACAAAGCGATTGGGCTTACTCGAAGCCCATCGTCGTTCTCGACCTACTTTGGAATTTCGCGTTCGTCTTCGTTTCGGTCGCGGTACTCAGTTTGAGCGGAAATGAGAATCCGTCGATGCCTCTTAGGCTTTGGATCGTTGGATATGCTTTTCAGTGCGTGCTTCATATGGTGTGTGTACGCCTTGAGTATAAAAGGAGGAATCGGCAGCGGAATCTTATGCCGGAGAGTTTTCGAGGTGGTGCAGGTGTAGGGTGGAGTGGGGAGAATTCAAATTCGAGTTCGGGAAGTGATGAAGGGGATGCTGTGGATTACGTTTTGGAGAGGCATCAAAATGACGAAGAAACGAGGTGACAATTTGCAAATTTTTAATTTTCTTTTCTGTTTCATTTTTAGAATTTTTCTTTCTGTGCTTTTGAAAAGCTTTAGCAATAAGTCCTATGGTTCGTGTTATTTTTTTGGTGGAATCTATTGTTTACTTGATTTCGAGAAGATACTATTTGCAAATAATTGGTCTTTATGCACATAATTGCATTCAGTGATATAGTATTAGGTCTAAATTGTTGCAAGATTGGTTTTTGGGAGATTGTGATTTGTGAAATTTTTGCAAATAAGACTACTCATGCTTCAAGGATGAGAATATCGAATAACTGAAAGCTGAGAACTTTATGTTATGCAACTACTAAACACGGCAACTGCAGTTCCTGTGCATTGATATGGTGTGGGTATGCGTGAATTTTGTACCTCTGCTTATGTTTTGCTTTAGATAATTTTTGTGGTTCGTTAGATTTTGTTATATAAAATTTATGATTGGAGGGCAATGGGGTTTTACAATGCACTATATGTGTCGAAAATAGTTGATTAATTCTGGTTTGTGTTTTATTATAGGTTTTATTTAATATTGGAAGTAATTGAATCAATTAGGGGTTAAGAGCAGTTACTCGGGTTTGCCTGTTTCTAGTTTAGGAGCCTAGATTGTACGTGATCACGGGAGAATAAGTGAATTGTTCAAGTATGTTCTATCAAGGAGGTTCATTTCCTCAAAGTTGCAGCTCTATTGCAATTATATAATCTTAGAAATATAATGATTTATAGTTTTTATGTTATATATTACTAAACTCTGGTTCCTTATCTGGTTATGGCTCTGACATCGTAGGGACAGATTTAACTCAAAAACTGGAATTGCATTGTGGTGTTTTGTAAGCTTAAAGCATTCTTTTAATAGGTTAACCAGTTAGTTGTTTTGGGTTCTGCGGATTCCACTACATGTCATTAGAACCTAATGATACACACATGGAAATAACGTTGCGAGCTTGAGATGCATTGTGGAATTATATCTCTGCATCTTACTGTTTTGGAAATAATTGGTATTTTGACACAGTATTAAAGTTTTGGTTCCTTATGGTATTGGGCCAGTATCATGTTTGCGTAATCTTCCCCATAGTGTTTGTGCCTGCCGATACACCAAAACAATGTTATATGTGCACATATCAATGCACTGGATGATATTTCTGTACAGCGTATGAGTGGAGGTCACTACAGAGGTGGATTTTATTCATATCGTCAAGTGTACTCATTCCAATCAAATGATCCGAGGCTGCCAATGTATCTCGTGGTAACAAAAATGTATTGTTCTAGGGTATTTCAAGATTCAGTCTCCGGTTTATATTTTGTTGACCAATCCTTCCTAATTTACATCTTTGTTGAAAGAATTACAGCCTATTTTGTTTCTAATATTTACTAACGGATTTGATCTTTCTTTGCTTTTTTCTTTTTATAGTGGAGATAGTCGCACATAATGACAGATAACAACCATATTATTAAAAGCTTGTGGGTAGAATGGGTTTCACTCTAGAGCTCGAAAATAATATTCCAAAGCTTTCGTATGCTCTTCGGATAAGGCCTATGTTATAGGGTATATAACTTCGATCATAGGGATCAATTTCAAGTTGCATAGCTTCATAATAATTATGTAAAGCTTGCGCATAATTTCATTTGGATTGAGCATTTGTTACGGTCGTCATTCAATTTAAAGAATCTCCAGTCCAGAACTGTACATGAGATTTTTATCTCATACGGCTTCTCTCTTATATGCATAATGAGAATAATAATAATAGAATCAAACAAAAGATTAAAATTTTCTCATTAGGAACTGAACAGGGATAGCGTTTTTACAAGAAATCTCTATCACAAGTACTACCTTGTCTCGGGCCTTTGCACGAAAAATTATAACCGAAATCTTTTTTATCTGGCATTAACTTGGAACTATGCACATCTAAAGCACTTTTTACTAATAAGATCAATGTAGTTGTGCAAACCCAGAGCAATAGCATGATGAACCAAAAACTCATCGAGACCTATTATTAAGAATAGTGAATTACTATTCTCATTAACAATATTTAATCAATTGGGCAACTATATGCTTCGACCCACATTGAATGTAAGTCCATTCGTTGAAGATAGAAGTACTTCAAACCCATATGAAGCTTTATTTTCTATAATAAACTACGTATCCATCTATAAAATAGATGGGTGGGGTATATCTCTAAAGATTGAATTGAGATGGATAAAAAAATATGTAGTTTGATCTAGACTATTAATGAATATGTATGTTGATCCAGATCAATTAATATGTAGAATAGAGATTCATATAAATTAATGAGTAGCCTAATTTCACAAAGAAGTTTTTGTAATGGTAGTTTTATTTCGTTTAGAATTTGAAGTGGTTTACTTACTATATTCATAATTTGGCAATGCATTTTTGATATCCTTACCTTAATCTGACTAAGAAATGAACTGTGCATGCCTATAACTCAAGGTGTATGACTAGTGTCACGATTTACTTTCTGCAGTGTTGCTAAACATCTGGAGTCTGCTAATACAATGTTTTCATTTATTTGGTGGATTATTGGATTCTATTGGGTATCTGCTGGTGGCCCAAATTTGACTCGTGATTCACCTCAACTTTACTGGTTTGTCCACTCGTCTTCTTTTTAAATGGGCTGAACTTTGAGAATTTGGTTGGTTGTGTTATTGGATTATACATGTATCTTTTCTTTTTGCAGGCTGTGCATTACATTTCTGGCATTTGATGTGTTCTTTGTTGTTATTTGCGTTGCTGTGGCATGTGTCATTGGCATTGCTGTTTGCTGCTGTCTACCTTGTATTATTGCAATCTTGTATGCTGTGGCAGATCAGGTAATACCTTAAACAACATTTTTTCTGTAGATTGTTATGAAAGACAAGATACTAGTTTCTTCAGATAGATTCTTCAACTGCAGTCAGAAACTTAACTTTGCCACTCACTGATATTCTCATAGGCGTAAACTGCAAATCACTTTTAAGACACCATTTTATTAGTGGAAGCAAGCAAGCAGCTTCCACAGAGTTGGTGGTAGCTTGTATTCTATCTCTAATAAGCCATTTAGGGATTTGTATATTTAACTAAGCCACTTAGGGATGGTATATTAAACTAAGTGATCAGGTATTACAGATGTCTCATTTAGCCAAGACATCAATTATATTTGGGGGATTTGTGCCTCTGGATATAGAATAAAATAAATGGCACTAGAGAAATCAACGAGAAATGCTGTTGCTTCTTTAAGGGACAGAAGGGAAAGGCAAGGGGGCATGATACCTTACTTGAGAATCTTTGCAATAACCTGCTAGAATATGAGTTCATTTATTAAACACCAAAATCATGAGCAACAGAGGAAGGGGAACAAGTGTAACTGTGTCAGAATACCCCAAATGCTCATATTAGTCATAATTTCTGATTCAAAAGTGAGAGACTTTGTCTTTCTTGGTGTATGTGTGTTTTTGAACAATTGACACGTAATATTGTAATTAGCAGTAGAGGGACAACAAGGTAAAATTGACGATGTAAATCCTACTTATAAACATAAAGTAGGACATGCTGTAATGTTTGAAACTTTCCACTGCGTTATTTCTCTCCTCGTTGGGTAGCTACCAAAAGCATCAGTTGTGCTTCTAACAACATTATTTACTGGCTAGAATATACGGGTGCACAAGTTAAACCCTAATATCAGGCAAATGGTCTCCCTGTTTTTCCATTGAGAAATTTGATGGTCTGCAAAGTATTGTCCTTCAAAAGCAGTCATGCATAAGGGATGGATGAGTTTCGAAATTGATAACTTAATTTGGGTTGTCCATTTTCCTCAATACTACTGGTTTTACCATCAAGGTGATCTGATTATGTTCTAAGTTACTTGTACTGCTTTACAAGGCTTGTAATTAGTTAGCCTTGGGGTTGTGTGTGTGAAATGGCTTTAGTGACCCTGTGGTTGGATTAAATTTGTTTTATCTAGCACTGAAGTGCTTTTTCACTGTCAAAGCCTCAATTTTCTTAAATGGCTTGCTTATTAACATGTCTCTGACAATAGGAAGGAGCAACTAAGGAAGACATTGATCGACTGCCTAAGTACAAATTCCGGAGAATTGGTGATTTTGAGAAACAAAACGGAGAGATCCAAGAATCTTTTGGAGGAATAATGACAGAATGCGGCACGGATTCACCCACTGAGCATGTTCTGCCCTTGGAGGATGCTGTAAGTTTCCAATATAGTTAGATACATTTTATCATTGAAATTAGAAAGAAAGCAACTTTCTTATTAAATTCTTCCATACAGCTGCCTCATAATGGTCGCAATGGGATTGACTTGCATGAATCCCTCATCCATGTAGCTTAGTTTTCTAAACACCATAATGATAATCTGGGCTAGTGCACATATCAGTTTATTTTACAGTGTGGATCTTAGTGCAATTTGTGTATGCTTCAATAACTATCAAAATAAAATTCCGTTTTGATTGGTTTTGTTTTGCTTTTGTCTCTCTGCTTTCTAGGAAAAGAAGTCTGACGTATGTAAAATCAAATTTGTAAAGAGATTGGGACACTAGCTTGACAAAATAAAGCTTTCTAACTCCAACTAAACTTAACTTTGTATCCAAATGCCGAATTCACAAATGTGATCTATACTATCCATCTAATATAATTTCTCATTTGACATGAATCCTTGTGGTGAATTGTAGGAATGTTGCATCTGCCTCTGCCCCTACGATGATGGAGCTGAACTGCGTGAACTCCCTTGCCATCATCATTTCCACTGTGCTTGCATAGACAAGTGGTTGTACATCAATGCTACTTGTCCTCTATGCAAGTTCAACATACTGAAAAATGGGAACCAAAGTGGTAGTGAAGAAGTATAAAAAAGACTCTTCATTGTACACGTCAATTGAGACCTGATCAGTCGGTTAGCATTTACTGCATTTGTTAAGCATTCGAGGCATAACCCGCTGAGTCTTGCAGCATTTGATGATTCTCCTGTTGGTGTGTGTTAAATGTACATATATTTCTGTAACAGTTGTCTGTACTGCTGTGTCTATCTGCAATGTCTAATTTAAAATCTGATTTCTCGCAAGATGATTGGTGTAGTTCCCGAAATATTTTGTTGTGATCTCTATAATTTAATGGATGGTCGGTCGACTCAAGTTGTTTGTGTGGTACTAAATGTCAATTGGTTTGTGTTCTAGTATGCTGATGTTAATATTCACAGCTTTTGATGTGATATTATTACATATGTGATATTCGATGATTAGTTATTGTCTTTGTTCAAAGATACAGAGTAATAAATAATAAATATATTTGTAATCATATTTAAAATTAAATCACAAACATAGAGGTGAGATAAATAAATTTATGCATTAATTAGTTGTAGTGAGGGTGAGGTGGTGGATGACAATAATGGTAGTAGGAGACGGTGATAGTTGTGGTAGGTGGTAATGACCGTGGTGGTGGCGATGGTAGTGGTGTTGGCGGCGGTGGTGACGACGACGGCAGTGAGTGGTGGTGGTGGTGGCCACGACGGAGGCGGCGACGGTGGTGGTGGGGGGGGCGTGGCGGCGACGGTGATGGCTATGAGGTAGTTTCAAATACTATTTTTTTTTAAAGTATTAGTGAGAAATAATTTTTAAAAGTATTTTTAAAATGTCACTCTAAATATATTTTTATGGGTTTATTTTTTCTATTAAATTTTAAGGTATTAATATTAACTGTTAGATTAATTTTAAAGTAAATTTAAAGTTATCTCAATCGCAAATAATAAAAATTATTTTATTTATCTTTTGAAATTTGAACTGTAAACTATTACATTATATAGATAAGAAAAGAGTTGGGGTTATTCTTATTTTTAAATCTCTTTTTTTACTTCATTTAATCGTCATATTTTAAACTATCAAATTTATCTCATCTATACAATATACATATCTCATTAATTATTAAGTTTATTCTATTTATATTCATTCAATTAAATTATTAAATATATGTCAAAAAATCGAAACAAAAAATGTTCCGAGATGATCAATGTTATTTCGAGGTGTTTTGAGATATTTTAATATATTTTCACCAATGTCTTTGAGATATTTTGAGGTGTTTTAAGATAATTTTATATATATTGATTAATATTTCAAAAATAATTATTAATTTTTAATCTGTTTTTGAAATATTTTTGTACTGAAGTAATATAGCGAAACGAAATTTTGATCATTGACTATATAATAAGTTGAAATAAAATTGAATGAATTTAATTTAATTAATAAATATAGACGGAGTGAGTTTAGTAGCTAGCCACTTTTATAAGTTTAATTCAATTATTTTTTTTATTTTAACTAACTATTTCAAGTAATTTTCACTACTCTCTAATAATTTAAAGGGAGTTACAATATATATAAAGAGAGATAAGAGAAAAAGAGAAAAGAGAATTTAGAGAGGCTAAATGACACTTCAGGTTCGAAAGTTATTTGGGTGAAATAAAAAATAAAAAATAGATTGGAGAGTGTTTTTAGTATTTAATTAATTAAAATGACTAAAAAAAGAAAAAAAAATAGAGAGTGGGTTAAAATTATTCCGAAGGTCAAAATGGCCTTAAATTAAGCAAAACGAGTGCGCACGGTGTGGGACCATTGAGCCAAAATTGAAAAAACAATGAAGTACAAAACTTGTCTCTCTTTTAACACAGCCTTAGTAAAAGTCTTTAGCATGCCAGCTGGCAAGACTTTTGAAAGACGCCAGCTGGCCTAACTTCCAGATCTTGTACGGCTAAACTATGTTAGTGAGAATATTTTTGCAGTTTACTGATGGAGACTATATTATAAAGATTTTATGATCGTCTTATTCTATATATATCTATATTATTATTACTTTAAAAGGTGAAAAAATGTGAAAAATATTATTTTTTCAACTTTATCCTCTAATATCACAATTATATTGCTTCCCAGTTAATGTCTCCCTCTATTCTCACTTTCTCTCTCTCTTTTCTCTTCCTATTTTTTCACTCAAATTCGAGAAAATATTCAATGTTTAGTAGGTACCAAGCTAGCACCATTATGTGGTACTCACCACCAATTAGAAGAGGCCATCTCAATAAAAAAAGTTAGATAGTGTCATAAAAATGCCATGTCAGCAAAGTGGACTAAATTATTTGACAGATTAATGGTAGTACAACTTCCGTTTTCTCTCTCCTCTCCTCTCCTCTCCTCTGTGTCCTATTATTTCTTTCTGTTTTGTATTTTTTTAGAACTTTCTCATCTCCTAAGTTTCAAATTTTGGATCACCCGTCTTTGGTTTTGAATTTTGAGTTTCTACTATAAACAAGTGAGATACAACCACCAAATATTTTCACATCATTTTTTTCTCTCTCCTCCATCCACCATTTCTTTCGGCTTTCTCTTCAATGAACTAGTTTTCCCTTTTTTACTAAGGGTGTTTTGTGGTTCATGCCTAAATCTATGTTTAGTAGTGCTTCAGATAGTTCATTGTGGCCGAGTATTTGAGCTGCTCTTAAGGCTTCCATTTAAAGCTTCGATGGCGTGAAGATGGAGTAGGAGGACTGATCTGTCCATAGTCTTTAATCTCATGTTTGTCAATACTCTCTTGGTTGTGAACATGTGGCATTGTCACTTGCATTTTAGTTAATTGAAAAAATTGGGTGTATTTAAATGTTTAATCTTGTTTTTATTTGTTTACCAAGTTATCCCATGCATTCTTGTTGGGAAAAATAAAATTTTACCACTCTTAAATCAAATTAAATTACACTGCCGTAAGATCAAAATTATCAATCAATGAAATCAGAAAAATCCATATGGATCCTAAAGATATCTTCTCCTTTCCTCCCTTTCTCTTCTGTTACTTTGGTGTTAACTAATGATTAGTTTATCCATTTTTTATTGTTCTTAGATTGTGTTAAATGTGAATCCATTTAGGCAAAAGTGAATCTGCTCGAAGGAAACTTAGGTTGAACTTTGTTCACCAACTGCTCGATGAATTGTCTCTATCGAAGTTGTTATGTTTTGTGAACTCATTTAATTTTACTTTGGTCCCATAGCATTACTAGCTTCGATCAAAAGAATCGTAAGTTTACAGGTTTTTTCAATTTTGTAGATTGTAGAATCATATTTGGTTTGTTTAAGAAGATTTCCCTTACCAATTGTGATCACAAGAATTAGTGGGTTAAGTAGACTTCCTACCAGTGTTATCAGAATCGGACCAGATCGGTCCAACCGTGAACCGGGACCCTAATCGGTCCGGTTCCTTAGTTGAACCGTTTAAGGAAGTGAACCGGCTAAAAACCGAAAAATCGGCTGATTTTTAACAAAAATCGAAAAATCAGCCGGTTTTTAACAAAAAAATCGGTTTTTAAAAATTAAATTACATAAATAAATTTTTTTGCCCTAAATCAGTAAATAGTTGATTTTTTTTAACCTTATTCTTGAAAAAATTATAAAATGACACCACTTCTTTTTCTTTATAATTTACTTTAACCTCTTTACTTTGCTTTAAAATACAATAACTCTCATTTTGTTACTTAATTTCATTAATTTTATGGCAAATTTTATGTATTTTATATTTTTTAACTAAATTATTAAGTTTTATAATTATTATATATATTTTTTTATTATATGACCGGTCCGATCAGATGACTCAACGGTTGAATCAGTGAACCATTGACCCGGTCCCTTTGCCGGTTCGATCGCCAGTCCGGTTCTGATAACATTGCTTCTTACAATTTACTTCCTAAATAAAAAGAAAAAAAACTAATTTAAAAAAACAAATAACTTTTGTTTCCAACCAGATTACAAGGAGTAAATTAAGAATTATAAGAACAAATAATAATACAAAATGAAGTTTGAACTATTAGAACTTTGAATTTGGACAAGTAAATCCAGAAAATAACTTCTAAGAAATCATCTAAAATGTTAAATTACTATAGGTACAAGACCCAGCTGAAGTGGCTTTACAAATTACAATCCAATTAGATAAGGTCCAATCTTGTTCTTATCTTTTATCCTTTGCCCAACCAAATACTTATTGCACCATTCAAATGCATGCATCATGGCGAGTTGCCACCTGTGATTACAACATGCCACTTGTCCACTACACTAAGTCTGGGGAATGCAACTTCAACCTCAACAACTCTGTTGCTTTATCTTCTCGTCGATAATTTTTCGATCAGATCCGCTAGAACCAAACCCGCAACATATGAGTTGGTATCAAAACCCATAAAAAACTTATTGGAAGAATCTCGTGTGGGAGCTTGATCTTCAAAGAATACTTTGTGTAGCTCACTCGTTAAATGAGAGGAGAGAGAAAAAGAAAGCAAACGGAAAGAAGGATGGTGCTATAAGCCATAAAAATACAAAGGCTAAAAAATAAAGCAATGGTTACGAAGAGATCGAACACTCTGTGTGAAGAAGAACAAACCAATAATGGTAGAAATGAAGATAGATGATGGGTTTAGAGAGAGAGAGAGAGAGATAGACAATATGGCTTACCAGAAAAAAATGACAGGATGGAGGAACTAAGAAGCGAGATAATGGGCTGAGAGATGAGAGAGAGAGAGAGAGGTGTTTGAAAAGAATTAAGAAAATTCAGAGATGAAAGGTCAACAATGAATAGGGTGGACGGCTGAAATGATTAGTTGCAGTAGAGAGAGAAATAACAGAGGAGGGAGAAGATGGAAAATGTTATTCCCGTTAACCACATCAGCAATATGGCTGAGTTGATATTTTCTGACATTGTCAGACATGTTATTGAGATGGCCTATTCTAATCGGTGGTGAGTACCACATAATGATGCCAACTTGGTACTGCCTAGCATGAAATATTTTCTCCACAAATTCGCAGACCTAGAGGCTCTACTTCTCTTAGCCGTTACGACCTCTTCCTCTCTCCGACTTTCTTTCCCTCTTTTCTCTCTCTCTTTCTTACAAATTCATATCCCTTGTCTTCATCTTCCACAGACCTAGGCGTTACGGTAGCTATTGTAACTTTCATTTTCTTTGAGGCTCAATCGCACTGCTTAGCAGTAACGACACCAAGCGTCAAGAATGTGTGATTTTCTTCAGGTTTGCTTTTCTTAAATTCATTGTTATTAATTTAATGAGTCAAGAAAATTAGCTTTCTCATTCTCAATGTTCTTGAAATTATTATATTTCTGATATTCTTGCAATTGCTAAAACCCTAGGTTTTTTGGGTATCATATTTTCC